GTTGCATTATAATCTGTTCATAAGAAATTTTGTTGACAAGTATGGTTGACTAAGATCGTTTAAAGAGTAGAACTTTGTATGTTTTTGAATGACTCTCAGCTACAACCATACCAAATTTTAGTACAGTTTCTGCAGAAGTGACTAAATTATAACCATTTACATGTTTTATAAAGTAGTTGGCTGTGGTCGCTATTCTTGTTAGATTTAAAAATTAATCATTTGCAGACGTGCATCCAATGATTTTATCCTGAAGGATTTATTAAAATTTGAACAGTGACTCTTGAGATATTTTGCTAACAGACGCTCAGAATTGGCAACAAATTGTTTATCGCAAAATGTCAAACAGATAAAACACAATCTCTTAGCGCTCATGACTTGTGTTGGTGTTCAGGCTCATCTACTACCACAGCAAATGTCATAAAATACCTGCAAAATTTATTGGGCTGTAGCCATTTTTGTGTTTTTATTTTAAGGTCAATTGGCTATGGTGGCCATCTTGAAGGAAGCTGACTCATGACCCAAAACATAATCAGCTGTAGTTCTATTTTACATGAATGGTTTCTGGATTTTTCCTTAAAATGTGTTCAGCGGCGGTTCATGAGATATTTCGGCAACAGACAGTGACAATGTAGTGCAATCTCAGCTGATAATCTCAGATAATTTGTGTTTTGAAACCTGACACTTCTTGACCACTGCAGCACTTGTACCCTGACATCAGGCTGCTGCAGCACTTTGAGGGCAGAGAGAATATCACAAAGGACGATCTTGCACTCTCTACACCAGCATGGCGCGTCATGGTTGACCTTTCCTTCTGCACTGTCTGAACCGATTAGCGTTTCTCCACGGTACGGTCACACACTCCCAACTGTCTGAACAACTGGAGCCAACTCCTCCTCTCTGACACATCAGCCGAGGTGCAGTTCCGGAGAGGTAGCAGGACGATGACCAGTTCTCATCCTCGGCGCCATATTCCAGCTGTCCTTGGACTGCTTTGCTCTTCGAGGACACGGTTGATAACGTCAGTCTATCTACAGATGTGTTTGGGCTTTTCAGGACAAGAAGCCAGCACATTGTTGTAGTCTGGAGGCTCGGTGATGAAGCAGACAAAAGACTAAGCCTTGGGATATCGCATGTGAGTCAAGCTGACCTTCATCTAATAGGCTGGGGACTGCACAGAGCTGTGCTGAATAAGCTTTAAAGAAAAGCAACAATGACAACAACAACAAAAAAAAAGTCACACATGCCTCAAACAAGAGCCACAGGATGTGCATAAATTTATTTCAACATATTGTATATTAACATGTTTATTCTTCTCCTTTGTTAAAGACACAATATGAACAATATTTACAATTATTAGATTCTAAGATGATATTTGCTGGCAAAAATATTTGTCATTGGATCAGGATAAAGTAGAGGAAGGCTACACTTTTGGGACTTAAAAAAATTATAATTCAACATGTATTTTTTATTATCATTATTATTTTACAGTTAACAGTCAATGGGAAACAACAGTTCACATTTCAACTACTGGTAGTGGTCCAATAATACAAATGACAGATGTGAGGGAGAAACATAAATCAAAACAATGATTTTAGTTCATTTATTTAAATAATTTTTTTCTGTTCAACAGAATAAATCAATCTGAACAATTTACGCCTTATATTGTATATTATGATGAGATAAAAATAAGACACTATGGGTAAAACTTGTCTATGTTTGTTTGTTTCGATTTTTTTTAATTTTGGTTGTTGCCTAAATTAAATGTTCTTTTAAAACTATGAAAAAATGCTCAGTCTATTAAGCACATAAATCAGGTCACACTTGTTAAAAAGTGCTTGTTTTTTCACATAAAAACTTAAAAAATAGACCGAATGAGATTTTGTAAATAACTGATTAAAGAAGTTTAGTGTCTGCTGTGACCAGTACATAGATGTATATGTGTAGAAATGTTTCCTATAAACTTTTAAAGGGATTTTCTTTTTTCAAAATGATATTTTTTACATTGAGCCACTTCAACAACAACTATGTCTTTCAAAGTTACACTTTTATTTTTTTCCATACAAATTTTTTAGAGGAACTTTGCTCATTTTTTAAGATAAAAAAAGGTTTCTTGGTTGTTATTTCAAAACAAGGCTAAAATCAGATTTCTGTTTTCGAAATGTAATCAAAAAAGCATTTATTTTGCCAATACAATATAAAGTATCCATCCATCTATCTATTCCTTATCTATACACGCTTCTTTCTTTCAGGGTCATGGGGGTCACACTGGTGCCCGTTTAAAGCAGTCACTGTGCGAGGGGCGGGGTACACCCTGGACAAGTCGCAAGTCCATCACAGAACATGAAATTAGACTATTTGAATTAATAAATTTGACAGAAGTCCTAATTGTTTTTCATTTAAATAATAATTTATATGAATTCTAACTTTTTCTTACCTTGTCCAGAGGTTTGTTCCATTAAAGGGATAGTTCTGATTTATTGAAGTGGGCTTTAATGGAATGTTATGAATAATTAACATCTTACCTGTTGCAGACAGCTTTTTGAGTGGCCTCTGTTTAAAAAAATGTTTATTTTTGATTAAATTGAAAAGCTAATGGCTAGTTCAAGCAAATCTAAAGCCAAACTAGATGGCTGCTGATTTTAAATTTTTTTTAATGTTTGTGCAAATTTTTTTTCTTAAGTTTACATCGTCTGATTCATATTAAATAAAGTAGAATTGTAATATATTCCTACGGGAAGTGCTCCAGGCTGCACAGGAAGTGCTACTGAATTAGCTGTCAATTTGGTCACAATTAGACTTTAATTCCACAAACTGAAACTGGCTGCAACAGGTTAGATAATAACTGTTCATTTTAATTCCACAAAATCCTGCTCTCCGAACTGTCTCTACAGGAAGTCCTAGAGGCAGCATATGAGCACTAAAATAATTGATCCTTTTCATATTTTCTCCAAAAGAATGTCAAATTTGATAAGCGTTTTTTTTTTCATAATTTTATCAAACAACTAATTGGCTTCTTTGTTGACCAATTCTTTGTCTCTCAGCAAACCATGCATCCCTCTGACACTTCAGACTCAATCAATAAGGATTTAATGACAGCTCCTATCATCAGCTTTGATTAGGTCTGATGGAGCTGCACAACGCCTTGTCCATAAAGTGCAGGAATGTGTTTCTGCAGAAATGTGTCATTCTGCATAACAGGCTAAACAACTGTCATGTGGGTTTGCGCGGGTGGGAGGGCAACAAGTTGTCTCATTAGTGTTCAATTAGACTCCATCCTCAGGAAGAGGTCCGACACTGAACCTGAGAAAGACTGCCACCGAAAGTGACAAGAGGTGACGGTCCGCCAAGGGTGGAAAACGAGAAACGCAGACATGAGCACCTGGCTGACATGAGACAAACTCAAGTGTGAAAATCTAATGACGCCGAGAGCACACGGCCACGCATCTGCACAGAACATTTTGTGCTTCTGAGGTGCTTTCGCAATTAGCCGTCTCCCCGACGAAAGCCGGAGCCTGTTACATGTGCCCCGGYCACAATCAATCGCACGACGTTAGCGGCTGAACACGGAGGTCATCTTCCCAAGTAATAAACACCTGGGCGTTTGGATGAGTTGCTCAATGAAGATCGAATTAAAGGGAGCAGGAGGACTGAGACATTCTGAGCAGCGAGGTGTCAACCTGCTGCTTCAGCTCAGTCAGTGAAGTTCTACTAACTTAAACGTAACGCTAAAATTAAATTTGACTCGTGTTCTGCAAGAATCCAATCACTCATTTATGTGTTAAACCTAAAAGAATTACCTGATATTCTTTAGATTAAAACCAGAACAGCAGTTGCTACAACATTGTACAATGGAATTGGCTTTAGATCACACATCTATAGATTTCATCTGCTTGTTGAGTCAGGTTCTGTTGCTACATACAGTACATTGTCCCAACAGCGACTGTAGTACCTCCAAACCTCTTCACTGTTGTAGAAAGTCGGTACAGCTACATTAAACTACCTGAATTGACGGTGCACTCCTAGAATGTTATGTACAATACAGTTAGAGCTTTCTCTTCTGCTCCTTCACAAAAAAATATTGTGCTTTAGCATTTAAAATACAAACTTTCAAAACACACACAGGTAGAAAAAAGGAAAAAAGAAAGGGGACATTTCTTCATCTTTTCTTTGTTCTCCATTTTCAGACAGAAAAATGTGCACTCCCTGTGTTTTGTTGTTTCTCGTTGGAAATATATCCCGCTGAAAGTTGTTGCCGGGTGTCGTTTTCCAGTTTGATTTTCCATCAGTGATCAAAGAGAAATCGTTTTTCCCCACTGAAGAATCCTGAGTTGATGCCTTCCGTTATGAACCTGTCCGTCCAGGCACAGATATGAAAAATGGAAAAAAAAAAGCTCTTCTTATACAAAATGCTACATTACGTTTTTAATATATTTCCTCTAAGTCCTAATCTTGGATAAGTCTAGTTTTATGCACTGGAAGTTGTCAGGAAGTGTGAGTAATGGCAGTCAATTATAGTTGTCTTTCAGCTTACCTCTGTAATTTCATTGTGCTCTGTACGATGACAATAAAGGCCTAATCTAACCAGAGCTAAAACCTTTAAACGTGAAAGTATAAAGATATGGAGTAAGCTTCAAATCATCAGCACCACCACAGTATATGGAGAGGAAACACCAATATGAGGTTGGCAGAATGAGTGGCTTCTTAGAGGAGCATCTAGGGTTTCTTAAATGCTGCCTGCATGGCTTCTCCGCTTAGGAAGCAGTCTTTGGTCACAAATCAAAACTTGAATCTCATTAGATATCAGTGATCAGCTGTCCAAGTGTTTACCACTGATTCATGATGTCCTTTTCCACAGCTTGGAACTGGACCCTGAGTTTCACTTTCAAGGTTTGAGTACCTTTCCTTTGTTCGCTTAGTCTCTGTGGTAGTCATTAACACCTCTTTGCAGCTTGTTTTTACTGTGAAAAGCAATCTGTTTTTTTTTTTTGTTGTTTTTTTTCGCGCCAACATCACACACAGATTTCTATCGCTGTCGCCATCACCATCTGGCTTTTGTTCTTGTCTCGGCCTGGAGATTGGTGCTGCCCGGGCTGCTCCTCTCTGGGAGACAGCGGATCGGAGAGGACACTGCGTTTGAGAGGCGCCGGGCGCAGACAGGTCGTCCCTGGAGGGGTGGACTGGTCAGGGTGTCTGTGAGAGGAACGCGAGGACAAGGAAGCCGTGCAGCTGCCGGTGCACACGCCCGAGTTTGACCTCTCGCCTCTTTTCGCCCGGTAAGAGGCTCGGCGCCTGAGCTCACTGACCAGCTCGTACTTGATGAAGCAGAACACGTCCTTGACCCCGCAGCGTTTTTCCGGCTCGGCGGCGAGCAGCCTCTGAAACATGCGCAGCGCGTCGTCAGTGAAGCGGCGCCACTGAGACGGGTACGTCCCCACCGGACAGCCCGCCTTCTGCCAGCGCCGAAACTCCTCGTAGAAGGCGTCGGCCTGCAGCGCCGCCTCCCAGGGGAAGTTCCCCGTCAGCATGCAGAAAACCAACACGCCAAACGCCCACACGTCCAAGCTGGTCGTCACGAGAAACCCTTCAGAGCGGTTGGCTCGACACACCTCCGGGGCCGTGTAGGGGATGGTGCCGCTCACCCGTTTGACACGGCAGCCCACCCGTCGGGTCATGCCAAAGTCGGCCAGCTTGATGCGGCGGCACTCACGGTCAAACAAGAGCACGTTCTCCGGCTTGACATCCCGATGCACCAAACTTTTACTGTGCATAAAGTCCAGAGCCAAGCCCAGTTGTTGCATGCAGCGTTTGACCATTTCTTCAGGCAGACCCACCTGTGAAACAAAAAACACAAAGTGAAATCATCTGAACTCTCATAGACAAGCTATACTCTGACACAGCAGAGAAGCCAAGACAAGATAGAAAATGGAAATGTGAAAGTACATAAAAAAGTCATATCTCTAATTATAAAAACCAAAATAAGATCCTTCATTTGAAATTCAGCTGCAATCTGTTTTAACGACTCTTTAAAGACTTTTAAAGTTAAGCACTTCTTGCACATCAGCTGGAATAGGACCAAAGAAAAATGAAAGCTTTTGTGCGGAAGGAAAACCAGAATGAACACTTAAATCCCTGGAGAGCTTGTTAAAACCTCTGTTTCCGAACWCTGGGGCTGATTGGAGCGGCTCCGTTTGGGCGAGGATGGTGACTGGGTGGGGTGTGGGGGAGGGGAAGGACAATAGCACTACCTGTGGTGGTATGATGTCGAAAAGGTCTCCGGCGGGGGCGTATTCTTGTCCGAACACGTAGCTGTCCTCGGTCTCAAAAAGCACATCGAGGACTTTGATGATGAAAGGGCTGCAGCTCAGCGAGCCTGTTAAACTGTATTCTCGGAGGAAACTTTTGAGCTTCGTCTTGTTCTTTGTGACAAACTTCAGTGCTATCTTGGTGCCTGGAAAAAGGTGAAACCAATGGCTGATAGGTACTCTGGATGTTTTATGGGTAAAGCAAACAAAGACTACATCTTGTGTTGTCCGTGCGTTGACTAACTCACCTTGTGTCCTGTGTGCCACCAGGTCAACCTTGCCGTACGTGCCCTTCCCCAGCTCACGGATGTGCTCGTACTGTTTGGCTACATCTGCTGCAGACAGAGAGGTGATGGCCAGCGCCTGCATGTCCTCCACCGGGACCCCTGCGCCATAGGTTGTCTTGGATGTAGGCGAGCCTCCGCTGCTGCCTGCCCGTCCTGGCCCAGACGGAGAAAGAGACAAGCTCGTCTTGACACCATGTGGCAGGCTGATGAGGAGAGGAAAATACTGTTAGAATAAATTCACTATGTTTCCCCCCAGCATATATTGTACAGTTCTTTCTTCCAACAGGACAGCTGAGACAAGGACACTCATTTTAATGGGATCAATACGGAGAACAGCATCAACATGGGGAAAGAAATTTCCGTAAATGTATTGGACTTCCTGTGGCTTCTAGATTACTCTGACTGGCTTTCAGATATGGGAGACCTCAGACAGCACTTACTGGCAGGCAGCTATGGAAAAATCAATAGATGGAGGGGCTAACAAATGGCAACAAATTTAGAGAGCTGCCAGCATCAAGGGCCGCATGCCGCAAATAACAGGTGACCACTCTCCACTACGTTAAAAAGTTTGTGTTGCTTTGAAAAATAATACATTTTGCATACTGACTGCCAAAAAGGTTAAAACGAGAAAAAATAAAATAAATAAAAATAACTTTGCAAGCTTTATATTTATAAAGGTAATCTTTGAAGGTAAACATGTAGCAGTTATCTTTACATGAAGAGACATGTAGCTATATGCACATCTCCATTAGCATTCAAACAAATGATAAAAACTATAATAAATGATGCAAATCTTGCGACTGATCTCACTCATTGTCTCCGTCTCTTACCCTCTTTCCCCTTTCCGTGTACACGCAATCAAATTTAATCATCCAATCATGCACAGCATGCGCACACACAATACTAATAGGCACCAAATCAGGAGAAAACCCCATTGGTGATGGCTGCTTTTCATCCATCAGTGAAAGCTAAATGCTTTTGTTTTTCCTCCCCCCAATTTTTTTCCCCTGCAGCCAATTTTTATAGCAGCGCTGCTTTAAACCAGGTTCAGAGTCATAAAAGTGTCTGTCACTTGCTGGGTACGTTTTGTGAAGCCAGTCGGATTGAGACAGCGCTGCAGCGCTGAGCTTACACGGTGAAAACACGGACGAGGAAGTTTAATTCAGACATTCGGCGGGGCGACGATCGCGTGGGAGGGGTGAATCTAAAACAAGACTCAACCCTTTGCAGCCTTGTGTTCCTGACTCAGTGTTCCCTTTTAAAAGTAAGAAAAAGGCCTAATGAAAATAGACAGGGTGCCCTACGCTCCACATGCATCCCCGCAGTTAACACTTGCTTCTTGATTTGATCAAAACTGTGGAGACGATTATATAAGAAACCATAAATACTTCAGCCAACTCATGCTGAGCGTGTTCAATGGATTTACCCTTCAGAGAGCCAACTGGAGACGTGATCAGAGCCCAGACCAGTTAGTATTTTAAGTGTAGTSATTAAACTTTTAAACAGGACAGACAGACGGACAGACTGGTAGCACATTTCCTCTGACTGCCCACCTTGTGTGGCCCCATAGCCTCAATCAGAAAGAACCGAGGAGAGCACAGGGAGCACTTGTTTACTGGCACCAGCTCCTTGCAGTCAGCTCCATGAGCAGAATGAGCTGCTCTCCTAATCACATTACTCATTACTCAGCTCCTACAAAGACAACCCCCTCCCTCTTGCTCCATTTCCTTTGAAAAACTAGATTAAGAGTCCTAAAATGTGATGAGCGGTTGGACCTTTCTGCAACGTGACCCAGAAAACCCGGTGTGGAGCTTGTGAGGTGTGTCGATAAAGTTATACCAGGGAAGACGATTGTGTGAAAGTGAATGTTTGTCGAGGGGTGGGTGGGGGTTGCTGGGGTGGTCTGATGTAGCTGTGGCACGGAGACGCTCTATCAAAGGCCCTTTGTGCTCTCACCTCTAAGAGGGAGCAGCTGTGAGTCTCAGAACAACTGCAACATTAACTACCTCCGATCTGCCGGGCTGCCCTCGAGTCCTCGCCGCTCCTCTCAGGCAGAAAAAAAGACAAGGTAATGTTCACACGCTCCACATACAGATGAGGAGTCACGATCAGACTGGAGAGGGTTCGACCCCTTCCCTCTTTTAGACCCCATTCACACCTGGCAATAACTTACATCCTGAGCTAATTGGATTCTGATAGCACTAAAAAGCAGCTAAAGTAAAATCTTGCGTTGGAAGCATTCACTTTTAAACCAGCTTCAGAGGAGGTCTGCGCCTCGTTTATCTGCATGCGTTTGATAWTCTGAACACAACTGTTTTGTCGCGATGTTTGATATCACCGATGTCCTTTACGATACTGAGTAAACCTCAAGCCAGTTTTGGCGATACTGATATGATACTTTGTGAAAATATACCTAATGTGTGGTAAATTTAAAGAAAGTGGCGAATTTCACAGCTTAATAAAGAGTACAGGATACTGGAGTAAGTTATTTATTCTCTCATATACTTATAAAATTAGAAGCATATTGACGCTGCATCCTCGTTTACAATATAGCCCAGCTAATACAACAGGAAAACCACAGGACACACTCATACAAAATGTGTCAAAAAAAGTGAAGTAAAATAATAAAACCATTATATAGATGATTGTTTATTTGATCTACAGTAGAACTACTATGAAAATGAAAAGTTGCATCTTCATTTTTGTTACCTGAACATGAAAATACTGAACATGTAACTTCAACAGACTTTCCACTAAAATTATTGCAGTTTCAAAGTATTGATGTTTKGATTTTAGAAGCAATTTTAGAGCATAAAGTTCTGGTATTGGCAGGATCAATATATTTGTATGGATTTGCAGATCACTACTGTCTCGAGCCCCAAAGTAGGAACTGAAATGACGTGACCCTCACAAGCAGCACAGTTGTTACCTGGATGTCTCAGAGTAAAGAATAAAGTCTGCTCCGCTGCCAGTTGTAGGGACAATAATTTAACTATCCTAAGAAAAATTTCAAAGAAATGACTTTTTTTGTTTTTGTTGTATAAAACTTTTTAAAAAGTCRTTTAAGAGAATCCTTCAGAAAAATGTCAGTATTTTGTGAATTAAAGAGCTGTGCCACCTCAGATTTGTCAAAACACAGTGTCAATTTAATTTATGATTGTTTTAAAGCTGATGGGACTCACTGTAAACTGTGTTGGATCAATCACAGAACAGTATTGCATTATATTCATACATTATATATTATAGTGGAGCTGTGTAAAACAGCTGACAGCCCTCTGTGGCTGCGTGGGTATCTGCATTCAGAGTGCAGTAATTGATATCCGATCGCAAAAAAAACGCTGGATGTACACATTTTACTGGCAGGTGTGAACTCTTAATCGAAGCTGTCCACTTGCAAGATGGATGTTAGTGCCAGATCTGAACRGGGCCTAAAAGTTAATTATCTGCTTTTTTTAAAAAACAACTTCATGAGCTGGCTGCTTGTTCAACTACTTATGTTGTTTTTGCAGGTAGTGCTTAAAAAGGTCWAATTTGTTCTCCTGGTTCCATAAAAGCAAACCTGAAGCAACAACAAGAGCAGGATTYTCCCCCAGAAATGCATTGACAATTCTCCTTCATTTAGCAATGATTCAAACAGAAAGCATATTTTTAGCACTCACCACTTTATCATAAGAAAAGCAGCTCTCCAAAAAGGGATAAACATCAAACTTGCTGCACAAACAGAGTCCCTTCAACTTAAATCATTTTAATTACTTTAATACCTGATCCGTTGAAACAGAGGTGTCACAAAACAGATTTTTAGACTTTTTTAATGGTAGAGCATTTTTATTGTGCATCAGTTAGCATGTTTAGATCCAGATTTAATTTTAAACCATCAATGAATGTACACATTTGCAGCTTCGCAGACACATGGGTGTTGCCTGAAACACAAAAAAAAGACAAACTGTTGCAGCAACAAGGACAAAATATTGTAACCATTGTGGTAGTTTGTGTTTAAACTATGAAATTTATTGGCTTCAGTTTTGAAAAGCAACGGCCAATAAGAAGAGCTGACCACAGTCATTTGTATTATCACCCGCCAAATTGTTTTGCCTCTATCCATTACATTTCTGTCTTTATCCATTTGGATGTAATTTTATCCAAAAATGGTTTTGACTTCCTAAATGTTGTAGATCTCAAGCTAAAACTTGGTGGCAATAACTGCAAGTCATTCACAACATGTATTTTGAGCTTTAACAGATGGCATGAAATCTCGCAATAATCCTTGAATCAGGATTTGACCAAAATGGCTAGAACCCTGTCTCCTGTGATCACAATCACAAAATTATTCATTACTTTTAGGAATGCTAAGCCTTGTTGTAGTAGATACTTGTTGACAAAGCAGGTTCTTCGTGTCTGTTTCCGATTACATGACGCCGTCACTGATATCATTGTTTTAACTGTTGCAAGACCAGCTTCTCTGTTCCCAAACAGTCTATTTTTGGCTGAAACGCTCCGAACTGCTCAAAATAGTCTGGAGCCTGTTTGATGTTTGTCGGAGAGAGAGAGAGAGAGAAAAAAGGAGGGGAGTGAGGAAATGATGCATTTGAAATGAGCTGTGACAGAGGCAAGACTCCAATCAAAAAATGGATTCAGAACTCAGTGATTAGCGAGGATGTAAATCAGGGAATTGGAGTTTCGGGGGAAAAAAAGGTATTTCAATGTACACAAATTACCCATTACTAAGAGATGAATTCAAATCAGCCACTTTAGACACTTGTCTGTTTAGTCTCATCACTCTCTTTCCATTTTMTTTCCTCCCTTCTCCTGTCGGTTTCTGCAAACAAGGCACTAATGAAAGAAATAGACCGCAGAGCCTCCCCCACGTCTTTACCTCTCTTTATACTAATGGACTCGCTGCTTGGCTCTGGGCAAAAGGTTTGTCGTGGATAAAAACAGATCTCTCAGTTTACTGTCAAAATGCCCAACACGCTTTGCYTCTGGGTCAAAGTGAAGCTGCTGGGTGGAATTCAAAATGACTAAAGTTGCTTTTTTTACTGTCTCTTTGAAAATATGGAGTCAAATTTAAATTTTCCTTGAAAGAGTGCATATCGCCCACCAACTTTCATGCCATTTAAGCAAAAATCCTCTATTAAAGAGGAAAAACAGTTGTGAGACGTTACGCATTGTGTTAGTTTCATCAAAATCTGTTCTGGAGTTCACA